CAGACATAGATTGATGTCGCTGAGTGTCGTAAACGGTGGTGCACGTGTATCTTCTTAATTTCTTTGCAACCGAAATTATCCATTTTTTCTTCATCACTGTCTTCAGTTCTCTTACTTCTGAACTGTAAGTTCTTCATCTAATTGGGTAGCCAAAAGACCGAAGCCAAAGCCACCGCATGAAATTGCATAGTTAAGAGTTCCACAAACTGAAACTGAACTGCTTATGTTGATGTTGTGCCAAGATTTGTTTGATGCAGTCAGACAAATATGAAAAAAAGATATGTATATAAAATTCAATGGTCAAAGGTATATTGTGGTACGGGGTAGGAGAAGCATTCACGCAAGAACCAGCTAGCTGATTTGCTATTAAAAAGAGATTAAAAGCGAGCAGTTAAACGAGGAAGAGAACACCACAGCTAGGCAGTTCGCGTGACTAGGTTGTTCAGTTCACCAAGGTAACGTATGCAACAAGGTTCAAATATCGAAGCATAATAATNAGAATGATGGACAGAACGATACGCAGGAGAACGTGTATTCGAATCCCACCACCGCCATCTGACTTCCCCATTATGCATTGCCCGGTAGTGCTTTGATTGGCCACTTCCCCCTTCCTGAAAACTGTACCATTATATATTCAATAAAAAGAAGTAAAAAGAAAAGGGATAATATGGATATAATCGCTGATTAAACTCACCCGCACGGCATCGACAAGCCTCGCAAGTCGTTTTTCCTAAGCTACATCCAGCCATCTTGTGTGAGATCAGCTCGTCCACTTGATCGAACAGCCTGCGACAACTGCCGCAAATGAGGATATCTTCTGGCTGTGAACGATCTGATTAAAATAGGTTGTCAACAAAAAAAATGCGGATCCAAATGTGAGATCTATCACGGTTGATACATGGATTCAATCGACTTCCTCGTCTGAATCATCCCGGTCACTATTATAGTAAACCATACAAAGGGAGGTCATGCTAAACTCATCCATTTTAGCCTCTACTAATCTCCAAACCAGACTGCACTGTGTGACGTCTATAAGCAAACCCCCTATATATAAAAAGGGCAGAACAAAGTTTGGCTTTGAATAAACTGATAAGTTAGTGCCCAGAGGGTGTGTAAACAACTGGTGTCGCAAAATACACCGATACATTTAACTAACATCTTCGCGGATAAGCGCCTTGAGCACATCCGTTGTAAATTGTGAAAGCCTAGTTGTGGTGGGAGAATTGTCCCTTCGTGCCGAGATGACCCTTAGATCAGGTTAAGACAATTAAGAGTACTCCTCCTTATGTGAAATATAATTTCTGAAACAAAGGGAAACTGCAAACTTTCATTCTGAAACCCACTTGTCATGCCGAAAGGATTAGAAAAAAACGATGTAGAATACTTCAAGTACAGATAAACCGATAAATGTTTTCCGCTATCTAAGTGTGAATGAATAAAGGTGTGACTTAAGCCACTGCTTTATCAAAATGTTGTATCCGTTGAGGAAATCAAACGCCCACCAAAAGGTATTCTGAATAATAGAGCTCAGACTGATTTAACCGTTTGAATAATAATAACTAACAATAATAATAATAAGCAACTGGGGTCAACGTGCACGCGTAATCAACATATCCTTGATAACAAGGTAAACCACTCAGTAATGACGCTATGCGGATGGTAATGAACGACAGTGCCACTAAACAAATTCCACAACTCGTATATTCGCATGAGACGCGGCAGAACGCATGCACATAGGAACCATTCAGAATGTGAAATACACTATCCAAAACATCTTACTTTGATCTTGCTTCGACGCTGTATTGCTCTCAACCGTAGCTACAGTCACAAAACTCTTCGGGGTTGACTTTGGTGCACAGGAAGACGGACGGACGGTGCTTTTCGCAGTACCGGTTGCCGTGGATTTTGGCGGAACTGATAACCGATCCGACCCAGATCGATCATTGTATACGGCTCGCGAGCTGGATGATAGAGCGGTTCGACTGTGGGAGGAATGAGAGTCCGATTTCTGCGGACTAGCCGAAGGACGTCCCTGTGAAGATTTGGGGTCAGTTGGTGATACCAGAGACACCAGATTTTGACCACGAGCACCTGCAGGTAGCGAGTTTGCTGCGTTGCTGAAACTACTACCAGCGGATGACGCCCCGTCTAGACGCGTACGTTTTGCAGATGAGGACAACTGAGCCATCGAGGTGGTTGAAGATGCCGGCGCATTTGAAAGCCGATTATATTTTGTTCTTGAACTTGTAACTGCCGTGGGTTGGGCGGGCAAACTGATGCCACTAAACGGTGCTCCGCTTAGCACGGAACTAGCCGCCGCAGCAAATTGAGCCAAATTGGGCTGACCCATAATTCCTTCTAAGCCCAGTTGTTGCAATGAGATCATAGGATTGTTAGCTAAGGTGCTCAAAGCTTGCGCTTGAAGAGTCAAATCCGTAAGGCTTGGGCTAGAAAAATTTGTCCAAAAGAGAAGGCCCGTGTGAACAAGAATCCAAGCACCAGTCCCAGTGCCAAAAGGCGCTGTGTTCTGGTATCAAAAACAGAAAATTCGGTCGATGGGAATAGTGTGGGTAACTATTATGGGGAAGACAAATATCAAAATGGATCGGGGAAAATGTGCACCGAGAAAAAAGACAAGCAAGTGAAAATAAGAAGCTCTGAATCGGCTGAACTGCTCGAGTAGTGAGCCAGAAAGAGCCAAACTGGTAGCATCTGATACACGTTTCTGAAGTTGAAAATGGTTAGAAAACGACAAAAAAGACAAAATAAAGGCACTATTCACTTTTGACGGACAATATTCCTGGCACGCGGTAGTAAAGGGGAAGCACCCATAATGGAAATAGGAGACCAACACGAGCGGTTCATATAAAAATGGGATGGGCAATTTGCCGACCAATAATTTCGGTAGCAATTGCACGGTTTTCGTGTTAGTAAAAAAATGGCCGTGATTACGGGAAGATTAGGGAACAAAATAAGTCTACAACTGTCTACAGTGGTTCTCCAAATCAATGCAACCGCCGCAAACGAGGGCCAAAAAATAAATCACGTAGCAAAAGCTGGATAGCTCAACGAACAAAGATATGCTATAATAGTTGGATAGTTCATGGAACTAGGCACCGCTGACATTTTTTGTGGTGCTAGAATTCAAAATACTTTCTTCATGGACCGTCATAAGGTTCAAAGAGTGTATCAGATACGATCTTAATGTGAGCGTGTCTTGGTAAGCACTAGACTTTCTATTGAGAAGTTCCAGTTCCGTGGGTTTTGCGGAATCGCCGAGGTTCATCATCATCATCATCATCATACGTAGGCACATGAACTAGACGAGAAAGACGAATGAAACGTATTTATTTATTCATTGGAATAGGCAAGAAATAGTATGAAACCAAGCTAAAATCAGGCTCTCTTAGATGTAATTCTGGATATAATATTTGCCGAAGAGAGTGATTTAAACATTCTGCAGTTGGGCATACGCAGTGAAGGATATTTTGGCTGATGACTTTAGGTCAAGTGACAGAAATATCACGGGTAGCTCTATTTATGGCGGTGCTAAGGAACAAAAAGATCGCAAGATCGCAAGTCCCCCTTCAATCACAATTACAGAGATCAAACTGCTAAAAGCTATCAACTAAATATGATTTCCTATTGCACGGGATCTGAAGAAGACAGCATGTTTTTTATCTGATATCTGAAAAAAACAGAACAAAGATTTAGAGATACGAAAATCAAACTGAATGGTCTGCGGTTAGTTACTAAGTTAAAGCGAGTAGACTCGTACAACACATTGCATATCTTACCATGCTGAATTGTTCGCTGCAATGTTTGAACGACCTCTTTTGCGATTCTTTGGTTCCGATGCAATAGTGACATCTGTCAACAGAGGTAGTAAACGTGAAGAAATGATTCTCTAAAATTGGCTAACGATAAATGCAATGAATAACAGAAAGCCTAACACGTCTGTTTGCGTTTACCTGTCACATCACTGAGTAGATTTAGGTTCTAAGACCACTAACACAGAACTACTTTATCCCGGCGGTGGTTGGTCTTTGGGCAATTAAACCGCTCTTGTCAATGGTGAGAACATTCCTAAACAGAAATGTTAAAGATCATGATTCCAATTTCACTCATAACACTTCCTGGTATATTCACGTTGGAAACGTTTAAACAAAAGTCTGAAGACAATCCAATGAATGTATTTCGTTCTATTCAAAAAGTTCCACGTAAGTATCATCACCTAATCAGGGCGAACTTGTAAGCATTATAAATAATTAATATCTCTGCTTTACCAGGAGAAATCAGTGCGAACACAAACTCGAAGTGAGTCCAGGGATCCTCTACCACAATTCATTATCTACAACAAATGTACAACCACTTGAACCGCGGTCGACTCTTCAAAAACACGAACATTCAATGCTCTCTGAATCAAGACAGGGAAAACCTCTCTTCATCATGCTTCATCATCACTGATCTGGTGTATGCAGTCACGCTGGAGCTGTAGTCAAGCTCCATCTTGAATGAACTAACGTTTACCAGTTCGGTCTTCACAACTATTAATCATGCACTTTCGTGTGCCGGTTTTGGTCGCGTTTCATTACTGCCAATTTAGAGTAAAGGGAGGATCGTAATGTTCAAATCAGTGTCAAAGTGCAAATAGAGAATTCACGAAGACTGAGGTCGCAAGGATAATGACTAGATGCACGAGCGGTTTCATAATTTGGTTGCCGTGCGCGACAGACATATGAACCTTCGAAGTGACATCTAAATCACTAGAACTGTATTAAGATTATTACCTCCGGTTCCTCTATTGGTAATGGCTTTCTTTGACATGCACTCCTTTGATTACAAATAACTGAAAGTAAGTTTGTTCGCCACTTTGTACCGTTCTTATAAACACGCGATAACCGGATACTGTACAAAGACCAGAAAAATAATTTTTCATATAACGGAGACCTTTTTTAATACAATGGCGAAACGTCAAGGAGGGGTAATATTCTGGCACTGGTGGAATTAAATCAACACATCGAATCCACCACCCCGAACTATGCAAAACAACGGATTTTTCATACCTTTAGGTTACTGTAGCCCGAGGACAGAACGAAATCAACCGCTGTTCATGAAATCAAACGATGACTGAATCATCATCATCGTACAGTGAAACACAGTGAGGCGAACTTCACTGATCACTGCCAAACTCGCAATGCATACAAGGTTAATGGTAGTACCTGAGGCAGACAGTGATTGAA